CCCCAAAACCCCAAAACCCCAAAACCCCAAAACCCCTTTGTAAAATTATCGAGTTGAAGATTACAAATAGGGCTGGCTTAGATTAAACTAGTTGTAAACGTGTTCATAGGCGACTGACTAATCTCCAATCAAAGTAACTTTGATTGTCAATCTTCTAAAATTCAGCCTGTATTAATTTCGCATGAATTGTCTTCAGACTAATTCTGAAAGCAAGGAAAGTAATATTACAGGAATTCCAACTACATAAATATTTCCTAAACTTCCGAATCCTCTGTACTAGAGCATATCTGGGAGGCAGTCTCACAAAATAGCCTCGATGCCATAAAATTTTAAAAGTTAACTAGGCTGATTCAGGAATTAGAGAAATTTTGGAGAAACACACATAATACCGTGAATAAATTTATCCTGAAAAGGCGATCAACACGAATTCCAAGTAGCAAGAGACCAATCATGAAGAGGTATGATTACGAAAATTAGTATTATGGGTGATCTATTGCATCAAATATTGGTCCTTAGTAATCACATCTACCAGTCTCTGCTTGTTGTTGAGCTTGATCTGTAAAGACCCCTAAAAAGATGAATAACTGCATAAACTACAAATATTAAAATTTAATAAGTTCTTTTCGCAAGTCTCACCTTCTTGAATCCCTCAACCATGGGCATAAGCTTGATCTTAGGATGTCTCATAGGGGCAAGCTTTCTCCTGGCCAGGTCTTTCTGCCTGATAGGAGTTTCTCCCATCAATTTTTCCTTCAGGTTGAGTCCTTGGCTGGTATCAAACCTTATTAAGGAGATCTATAGGCATGGTTATAACCTGGATGATTGTTATAAGCCCCTTATCAAAAATAATTCAAGGAATTTCCAAAGCATATATCTTCTTCTTAAGCTATCTGCTAGCTGAAAATGCTTCTAAAGATAGCACATAGAAATATTAAAATTTATTTCCCAGCAAACCTCTTGGAAATGGGGTGTCTAGGCATACTACCTACTAAAGATATGATTTTAAACAGTCAGCATGAATTTTTGATAATAATTTTTTGGCTTACCTTACTACTCTCAGACTTCTTCTGTGTTAAACAGAATGCCTTCAGTTTCTTGTCTAACCTCTTGTTGCTAAAGCAAATCCTAGGGTGCTTGAACCGCCTCTCACGTGCTTTGGAATCAGTAGTGTTGGGTAAGGGATTCCCAGAAGTGAAGCCTCTTCGGTGATGGATCTGGATTCTCTGTCCTCGTTTCTCTAGTGGTCTTAATCCTTCGTGACGACTTCCCATGTACTTTATCTTTGGTATACTGATTACCTTATCACTGTTCATCGCCCTCAGGTTAATCTTGGAACTCGCCTTGATGAAAGGAATTCTTCTTTCAGGACTAGGTTGCAGACTTTCATACTCCCTCTTAATCCTTGTGAAATTCCTAGGAATATTTTTATCATAGTCGTATTCATCAAACAGAGGTTCCTTCTTACACTTAATAAGTCTAATTAGACTATGACTCTGTCTCTCCCGTGAGTGTCTTGATGGAGGTGCCACAGGTTTGAGTCTATCAGCTCTTCAGTCGAAGGAGTAGACCATATCCATACTGAAGTTTGCAGCATTTTTCTTTTCTAGCATATTTACTGACTTATAAAATTATATCCGTCTTCAGCTATATCTCAATTTGAGGGGTTTTGGGGTTTTGGGGTTTTGGGGTTTTGGGG